ATTGCATACTTATCGATGATAAACATTTCATCCGTTTGCATGTTTAGTTTTAACTCCCAGGTAAAGAACACGTAAATATTAAATTGGTAAGTACTAAATAGGGATAAATATTAAATGTAAAATATTAAACAGATACATATTAAATAAGCAACAAATATAAAGCAGTGCATCTTTTTGTCATATATTATGTCAATTTTAAGTATTACCAAGAATGATCATTCATTTTAAATACTTGTAGAACTGACACTGTATCTAAAAACACTTTCACACACTCGAAACGAACTTCTTATGAATGTTTAGCGGAGTTTCCTAACTTTTAATCCAACTGCTGAGAATGAGATCACCAGCAGAATGAACTCGATTCAACATAAAACGTATTTTGGCCTCAATAATTCAAATGAGTTTCTCACACAGACACTTTGGCTCTTTAACACGCAATCTATAAGATGCTGTTTAAAAGGCTCCTACCTGAGCTTTCACGTGTTTTCCAGCAGATTCCCAAACTGCTCCAGTGTGAGCGAACTTCAGCAAACAGGCTGGAATGTCATCACGAAATTACAGAGGAAGAAAAGGAGGAGTGTCTTTTTAAACACACACACACACACACACACACACACACACAGACACTCAGTCTGGTCAGCTATCCTTGTGGGGACTCTCCATAGGCGTAATGGTTTTTCTACTGTACAGACCGTATATTCTATTGCCCTACACCAACCCTACCCCAAACCTACCCCTCACAGGAAACTTTCTGCATTTTTAGATTTTCAAAAAATTTCATTCTGTATGATTTATAAGCTTTTGTACCCATGGGGACCACAATTTAGGTCCCCACCGTGACATGAGTCCCCATGAGTCTGTGTGTAGTCAGGTTTAAGTCCCCACCAGGATATATAAACCAGTACACACACACACACACACACAGACGTGTTACTTTACGTACTTGACGCACATTATAGTTTCATAGTAGTGTGCTGATTCATAAATGTATGCTTCATTTCAACTTTTAAAATCTTAATTGAAATAAATTAACTTTTCCACAACATTCTAATTTATTGAGATGCACCTGTATGGAAGTTTACACTAAGAATATAAAACTGTCATATATGTTCTTTGTGCATGGAAACAAACACTCACTGAGATGCTTCACTATTGAGTGTTATCTTAAGCCCTTTTAAAAGGCTTTGTTGGGAGTTTATTACTTCATTCTAGATTTATGCTGCCTGTAATGTGTCAGACATACCTAAAGAAGATTAATGATCTTTACTGTAATGCTTGCCATTTTAAATAGATGTGGTAAGAATCATTTTATCAAGAGAATCATTTTGTTACATGCCATGAACCTATCTATATACATTTCTAAGAATGGAAAATATGCATGACTTCAAAATAGTTTTATACTATATAAATAAATAAATACAAATATTTTATATATATATATATATATATATATATATATAGGAAAGAAATAAGGAAACCCAGCTAACAGGAAACATTGACTGGAGTTCTGGGAAGGTTCTCTCAATGTTACGGACAAACGTTCTTCATCGTTCAACGTTATCTGGTCTTTAATAAAGTTTAAAACGTAAGCACAAAAATGTTACTTATACATCATTCATGGAACATTTTCTGAAACATTTTAGTTGGACTCTGGTCTAACATTTTTCAAATGTTACTAATTGTTTCAGAACTTTCTGAGAACACTCAAAAGTAACATTCCCATAATGTTTGCAAATTATAAAATGGAATGTTTCCTTAATGTTTGTATATCCTTCAACGCCGGAAGTAAGCCGTTTTCTGTGAATGTGCGAGACTTCCGGTTCACTAGCTGCTGTAGGGAAATAACGAGAAATGCAGTACAAAGTGCAGTAAATGGTAAAAATGTTTGCACTACAAACCAGTGTGTAAGATAATACATTCAAATAATATGGTAAGACACACCAGTTTGCAATATCAAGGAGCAAAACAAGCTGTTTAATAGCTGGACACAGATGACACCGGAAGCCAGACCCATAAAAATTACAAATGGCCACACCTGCTCTTATGGGAAAAATAAGGTGGATAAGCAAAAAAAAAAACTGGATGTTTTGAATGTTCAGAGAACATTTAGAAATAACATTTTCATAGCTCACTAGGAACATTCTTAGAACATACTTTTGTTAGCTGAGAAAGGGCCAGAACAGAATATTGCACCCAATGTAGGGTGACCATACGTGCCATTTTCCCAGGACGTGTCCTGGCCAGGATTTCTATATTGCCTAAAATATCTAGGTTTTGGCTTTGTTTGCATGTGCAGACCGATCGGTGTATGACATCAAAATACCATACAGACGGTTCGTTAAGCTTTCAAAATGCTCTCGAGGTATTTTGATGTCATACACCGATCGGTCTGCACATGCAAACAAAGCCAAAACCTAGATATTTTAGGCAATATAGAAATCCTGGCCAGGACGCGTCCTGGGAAAGTGGCACGTATGGTCACCCTAACCCAATGCACATTTCATATGAATAATGTTGACAGTTCCACCATAACACACAGACAGACATCAATTATACTAATTAACTGAGCTTTGAGGACAATTTCACTCTGCGGTGTGTGAGGTATGGTGTGTGTGAGAGCGGCCTGATGAATGACTCATTAAAGCCATTCAGAAATCAGCTATGCAGTGATACCCAGCATGCATCACTTGTCATTTTGGGAGCTGATACACTTGGACATAAATAGAATTGACCAAAATTGACCCCAGAAAATATGTGGACACGGAATGTTACTGTATAAACATAGAATATTAAGCCAAGTGTCATTTATTTGCACACTTTTCAAGCAGAACATTTCAGAAAAAGAAGTTTGCTAGGTTCAAATGATAAAACAATAGGAAAAAAGTACTGTGCACATTCCATATTTTGATCATTTAAAACCACATTTTGCTGTTTTATGTGTAATAATACAGCAGCGCAGAAGTACGCTATCATTTCTTCCAGTGTCTTCATCCAGGCCTTCATCTGGAATGAATGAAACACCAAAAGAAGGAATTTATAGAGAACTGCACAAGACTGTAAAGAAAGAGGGAATGAAAAACAGATGTAGCATTCTGTGCGTCCTCCTTTTATGGTAAAACTGGACTCCGGCTGAGCAATGGCACGTGCGTGAGAAATTAAAACATAAGATTTGTTTATTTAGGTTTCCGTGCATGTGTCTGTTTCTGACGTGAGCTCTTTTACCCATGAAAGAGCTTCTGGAATGTCATCAGCTGTTTGACGGCTCATTCAGACTGTGTCTTGTGCCATATTTACAAAGCCTATGGTATTTATGCACAATGTTTGGTTCATTTTGTGTAATTGTTTGGTCTCAGACATGATTATTTCTGAGAAATCAATAGTCTTTTCTGAGGTTTATTGGTCTGTTAATGTCAAAATGCAGGTTATTGCTATTCATACAGGGTTTATTGTGATGATAAAATGGGTTGCCAGGTGTGTTTGTGTGTAAGCAGCACTAATGAACATTGAAATGTCACCAAGCCTATACTATATTGGTCTAGATTAGATAATTATACAAAACTATAATACAGACAACACACACACACACACACACTTGTCTGGTCAGCTATCCTTGTGGGGACTCTCCATAGGCGTAATGGTTTTTCTACTGTACAGACCGTATATTCTATCACCCTACACCAACCCTACCCCTAAACCTAACCCTCACAGGAAACTTTCTGCATTTTTAGATTTTCAAAAAACTTAATTCTGTATGATTTATAAGCTTTTGTACCCGTGGGGACCCCACCGTGACACGAGTCCCCATGAGTCTGTGTGTAGTCAGGTTTAAGTCCCCACCAGGATATATAAACCAGTACACACACACACACACACACTTCTAATTAGGGGTGTTTGCTAAGGCCTGCTCACTGTTATTATAACACTTAGTGATTTAAATAAACTCTTGACCCTAGGAATTAAACTTAAGTGTAATTCTTGTTAAATATGGGTCTTAAATGCAAAGAAAATGGCACACAATAGGTTAGATGCCATATTGAATTTAATGCAGATGAAAACGAGGCTATAAAGACACGCACTAAAGGTCCAAGATCACCTAATTGTTACAATTCACACTTTCAAACTGTTTTATGGAGATTTTGACTACTTAAAGGTTTATTTTCTCTCTCGAAACGTCCAAAAATGAATATGGCGCCATACTTATTATAGCGGTGTTTTGGGTTTATTTCAAAGCAACTGTACGTAGTTTTATCTATTTTTGCAACTTTAGAGCCTCCGTCAGTTGAGTGGAATTCACTGTCGTAAATATACCAGCAGTTGTTGCTGCCGTAAAGCAATCCGCACTTTTCGCGGAATTTCGTACCCGCTCACCAAACTTAGTTCCAGAACAGACGTTTTGGAAAAAGAAACTTAAGCTATTCGCCTTATTATAAATTTGTACCATGCTGAAACTGATATTTCAAGATAAACAAAAAAAAAAAAAAAAGTTTTTTAAAGATATTTAATGGTTCCATGTGTTCAAATACAGTTTCACTGATACACTGTGATCGTTTTAATATCAAAATCTCAGAGGACAAACTATTATGAAAGATTTCCGAGATGAATCCCTAAAAACCAGACTGTAAAAAACATTTTTGTATATGCTGCCATCTAGTGGTCACACAAAATTAAGCCCATCTGTACTGTACACATTCCCCTACAAAATCAAGAGAATAATGCAAGATTTAACAAATAATATTATATGTTCCATAGATTTATTTTGTATTACATGACACCTGTGTCCATACATAAAATGATTGAAAATATATCTGATAAACACAAAAGCACCGCAGATTCAGCAGTGCAGCTTTAAACATCCAACAGACATTTAAACACTGACAGATATAAAAATTAACATGTATATAAAATATTAAATGATACGAGTTACAGCAAATAACTGTAAATACTGTACAGCTCTATGGATTAAACCATGTTGTGTAAAATTCAATCCAAATGTATGTTTCCAAAAATAATTTATTACTAGTCTACAAAGAGTTCATACACAAACATACTCGGTTTCAAAACAGTACAGTACTGTGATATTTCTGCTTTGCTCCAGTGATTGCAGATCATATTCACTGGTCATTCAAGTATGTCTTTGTTTCCTATTGGTTTCACAGATGTAGCACCTCAAACGTCACCAGTGTCAACAATTACAACCATTATTTTGTTCTTTATCCCCAAATACACTCAGAATTCATTCGTTCTCTGTGGCGAAGGCATCATGTAACAAATACATTTCTAAGGCATGTCGGCTTCACCAATATGGCACTTCTACAAACTGTTTACCTGTGAGATAGTGAACATACTATTGAGCAGATCTGTGTATTTTTCTGAGACTGATCCAGACTTAATTCATTTTCACATTTTTAAATATGTAGTGCTAGAGCTGGATTGTTGATTTTAGCCTCTGGAATACTATAATAAATTATAACTGTAAACACTCAGGCAATACACTGGTAGGATGTCAAATGAACTCCAAAATAATACTATCAAAAGTGGTGGGGGAAAACAGAAATACAGCCACAAGAGGGCGTGTAACAGACTAAAACCAATATCACACTAGTATCTGCCCTCTTATTCTGATGTTCACTACTCAGTAAACAGGAAATGTTCATTTCATCAGAAAGAATTCAAGTCAAATTTTGCTGTGTAATGCTGTTTCTGTCTTTGGCACTGTAGCACCACAGAAGCATGAAAATGTAATGACACAAACGCAGCAGCTAATTTAATTGGCTGTGGCGTGTCCGATGTCCAGCCTCCTCTGGGCGGAGCCTCTTTTGCATGCCGCCGGTGGGGTGCTGAGAGACCCAAAGGCTCCAGGCGTCTCGAAGAAAGATTTGGACCCCACTGCCGCTTCCTTTGGTGTCACAGGAGCCTGAAATAGCAGACGTGAGAAGGTCAGAAACACTACATATAAAACGTACTAATGTTTGAAATGCATACTATTTTTTTAAACAGTAGTGTGGCACCAAAATAATTTTTTGACAAAACAAAAATTAAAGTTCTCATTTACCCTGAAAACTGAAAATAACCGAAAACAACATGTGCAAACTGGTTTTGTTCAATAAACCCATATAATTACTTGCTTTTGATATTTTATTTGAATATATATATGCATTTTAAGTCATTTTAAAGTCTATTGTTCGCTTAGGTCTATTTTTACAAAAAAAATGTTTTACTCGATTATCAAAATAATCGTTAGTGACTGCCCATATTCAGTGCATGATAAAAAACCCCCCAAAAAAACAGTATGCAGTAAACTGACCTGTGTTTGTGCTCGCTGAGGGATTTCTTGTGCTCGTGGTCCCTGTGGCGAGAGTGTGGCTGCTGGTAATCTGTGCCCATGATGCTCAGTGCTGTTCAGTGTTTCGACCACACCAAACGCCCCTCCTGCCATCACAAACCGGGCCGGTGACAGCACGGTGGGCACGCTTAAACTCAGACCGCTGCTGGCAGCCCCCTCAGCGCCGGAGGTGGGCATTGCACCCGCTATGAGTGGCGAATGCACCAAAAAATACGGCATGGCTACAGCTGGCACGCCAGCCTGTGTATGTCCCGCTGGCATGAGGAAGTTCAAACCGTTCAGACCTACAGAAAACAGTAAAATGCAACATTAGAATGAGCTTACAATCAGAAAGACTGACAATCACTGCTCAGGTTTTCCTGTACCTGCTGTGTTGGGAACATAGAGGTAATGAGAGGACAGGAGGGGGTCTTTAGGGCTGGGTGCTCCTGCGTCTTCCTCATTTATTGGCCCAAACGAGGCCTCGTCCCATGGGGAACCTTCTCGAGAGCAGACTGGAGACCTTCTGGCGCTGGAGCTCAGACTCTCAGTCTCACCCTATGGGACATTCACACAAATGACAGGTTTCATAATGACAGTTTATAATATTGCGGATGCCGCCATTATAAAACCAATAAGCCACTCAAGGCTGTGCATTACAGCGATTTCACCATGGTAAAATCTATCTTCACATCATACTCCATAATCAGGGTCAGAAACATCTGATACATTTCAATTGTATCGTACTCATTTCTAGGTAGTTATAAATATGATCAAACATATGAGTTGATGTTGATCGAATTTTATTGCATAAAAGCCTAATTATTCTAATTTTACACACAGTAATTAATTTATTTTATTGTATAATTTTTTTACTATTATTTTATTTAAATTTTCTCATTTTTGTCTTACATTTATTGCTTATTTTATTTATTTATGTGAAGTTTTCGACAAAATGACAACATTGTCATATATATATATATGTATATATAAATGTTCTGTTTTATATCAGATACTTTAGTTTAATAATAACATATTTGTATACCACATTTCATATTTGTAGCTTCAAATTTTGTCATTGCTTATTGTCTTAATTTATTTTAAGCTATGTATATATTATATATATATATATATATATATATATATACAGTATATCTATCTGGCTCATAACACTCACCATTTCACTTTCTATGGAAGCTGAGCGGTTGCTTCGTTTAGCTGTCTGATCCTCATCCTCTTCCTCTTGTCTCTCTCTCTTCTTCAGATGTCCCTCCCTGTGGCCTGAGACGGGTGACCCGTGGGTGACGGCATCTGAGACGTGTCCGCTGTACACCATGAGCAGGGGTGTTTGTGGCAGACCGGGCAGGTACGCTAACGGGTGAGGAGCGAACTGGGCTGAAATGGGCAGTGATGCATAAGGCACATCTGCTTGAAGAGGCACCACCAGTGACGACACTACAGGACTTCCACTGAACAGAACACAGTAGTTAGTGATCATTGACAACTAGATGAAATACATATGTTTAAGTACTACAAATATCAAAACTGACAAAAAATAAATTAAAGCTAAACAGAGCTATGAAAAACTATTACAAATAACAAACGCACAACAAAATTGAAATGAAAATTGAAAATCTAAAAATAAAAGCTAATTCAAAATACTAATATATTCTAATAAGAATGACAAAATTACTAAAAATCTAAAGAATTAAAACTGAAAATCTAAAAAGCTAATTCTAAATATTATTATAAATACTATAATGCACTGTAAAATTATTTTTTGACATTTTTGTAAGTTTAAGTTGAAGTACTAAAATTAATAAAATTGACAAAAATAAATTAAGGCTAAATAGAGATACAAAACACACACAAATAAAAATGGTAAAAGCACAACAGAATTAAAATTTAAAAAAGTGGAATTCTAAAAATAAAAGCTAATTTAAAATATTATAATAAACTACAAACATTATATTTCTAAGTTGTAAATAAAACCATTATTGGAGGACATTTGACAAGAAAATACTAGTTTTTCTACTTCAAAATTTCATGTTTAATTCAATGTGTTACTTGCTATTTCTTTGCGATTTTTGTGAAATTTACTAGCAATTTCTGTGTGGAAATTCTTTCTACACCAATTTTTCAATGTAGTATATGAATAATTCTAAATTAACATTGTTAGTAATCAAGATCACAATGGTTATGCATTAACTTCAGGTTTGAACCTACAACTTTTCAGCCTAGATCTTTACGCAGTGTTTGTAAATGGCTAAAGTTTGAAATATGTGTAAATTTCTGCAAATACCAGTTTTATACAGGTGGACTCACCTGTCTCCAAACTGCAGTCGACACACTGCACTGGTGTTCACACTCTTCCTAGAATAATCCACCGGCTCGTCTGAAAATACAAACACAAAAAAACGTCACATAAACTACAATTACATCAAATGTAAACATTACACTAATATTATGGTATTAGCTCTCACCTGTAGAACGTCTGTGAGGTGTGTTGGGGGCGGAGCTTATCCGCCTTTGATTGACAGAAGGGGCAGGAATGACCTGGAAGGAGGAGTGACGCGTCATCTTCTCCCGTCGTTCCCCGGTGGAACTGATCTGAGCTTCTGAGACTCTCAAATCGTCTGAATCTAAAAGACATGCAACAATATTCACAATATAATCACACTGAAGAGACTAAAAGCAATTTTCACGTGTTTAAACAGGACGTACCGCAGCTGCTGTGGAAATCGGCAGGTCCAGTCCATTTGAAGACGGGTTTACGGCTCTTTTCCTCTCTTACATGAAGTTTCTTGATCAGATTCAGGCTGGTCAGGACATTAGCGATATCATACAAACGTCGCACCTTAGCTAAACACACACAAAAAAAGATTGCAAGCTATACTTAGTCATTAAGGAAATGCATAATATTTTAAATATTAAATCTGGCTGATGTCTTACTTTTATACTTGCTGTGGCTGGACTCATCCTGACCCTCTTCGATCAGGATCTTTGCAGCCGTATCGAGGGTAACGGTCTGTGTTTTGGACACCAGAAACAGCATGACAAACTTCTGGCTCATGATACGGAGTGATTTGTCCTTCCGTCTGCTGGAGGCCGCTGTATGAGAGAGATAAACCATGCTGTAAAACACGTAAAAGTTGTCGTTTACCGCATTAATGCATTAGTCTTTACAATAAAGGTCTTCGGAGAATCATACAGCAACTTAAGAAACAGTAAAAAAATGTCTCTTGATAAGTCGAGGAATTATGCTTTTTCAGTTTTAACAATTGTGGTGCTGAAAAAGACGATGGAAGACATGAATAAAGGATGAGTGAATAAATTTGAGGTGACTGGCAGGAGAAAATCAGAGTAAGTGGATATGAGGAATGGCATGATTGCTCGGTGAATTGGCTGGTCGAGTGATTCCTGCCCTCATGATGGGATGGTAATAAGCTTTTGTTAGAAAGGAAAGCCGTTGCTTAGCGACAGCGGCCACATGGGACAAGAAGCCAGCAAACACAATAACCACATCAGAGGATCCAGACGAGGACAGCAGGATGCTTCATTTCTTCATCAAGACATCAAACTCGAAGAGATTCATTTGAATGCTCAAATCTAGAGAAATTAAACACTTGGCTACTGAGCAAACAGACAAACAAATAAATATAGATCTGAGACATCTGAGTGGATTAAAATCACTCGCTTTGTGCAATTATAAAGCTTGGCGGTGTTATAAAACACAATGATTTAACACAATGACTGGGGCTAAAATCATTAGGGGCTTTTATTTCATCATCAGCTCATTTTGGAAACAGAAAACACCAGAGCTTTCAAATAGCATCCATTTTTTCTAACGTGCATTTTGAAAATCAGATAATTTCATTTGAAGCATGGAAAATTACAGTATATGCTGTTTTTTTTTTTTTAATACAAACAGAATTGTAATTGTCAGAATTAACATAAATAATTATAATATTTGCCATAACTTCTATATTTGTGCATCTAATAGAAAAAGATGTCATTAGTGTTAATTTACTATTACTGAAATACTATTATAGTTTTTATTAATATATATTTTTTTAATTATATTTTCTTTTTTCATTGTAATTTTAGTTTAGGTTTGAGTAATTTTGTGTCTTTGCCATTTATATATATATATATATTTAAATTTCTCTAGTTTTTTATTAATTTTATTTCAGTTTTAGTTATTTTAGTACAAATAGTTAAACTAAATGAAAATGAGAAATGAAGAATGTTTTTAAAATTATTTAAAATAAGTTTATTTTAGTTAATGTAACAAAGGTTTATGGTTTTAGCTAACTATAATAACCTGGCATCACATACTAATTTATTTAAATTTTTTTTTATATTACTATATATTCTAAAACCATATCTGCTTAAGTTATAAGCAGACATAGTACCTGTAGCTATGCTATAGTTACATATGAACTATATTATTACTGATTAAGTGTAGTTTCTCCAAACAAAGGTCAACAGTGATGTGATTTAATCAAATCACCCCTACAAGAGCTCAGCAAACACCAACATGTCTAAACCTGCAGCTTCATCTTCCTCTTTGAATAATTAGCTTCCCTCTTCGGCCTGTCTGTGAGAGCGTGGCACATTTATAACAAAGAGTCCCGGTGCTATGATGGGATTACTAGTGATCAACACAAAGACCTGGTAACCAGTGTTGTGATGCCCGAGACACTGTTAACGGGTGACCGATTAATAGATACTAATAATGGTGTTAATGGGGCAACTGCCACTATGGTTTCAATGTAAACCTTTTATGTGCAATATAGTGAATCATGCAAATGACAGTATATGCATCATGCAACCAGGCAGATGGGTTTTTAAATCTTTTTTTTTTTTTTTTGCAATGCAAACTGAATACTTTTACAAGTATGGGTGTCATACCGAGCGAGTTTTGCATGTGGTGGGCGGCACACGGGCTGCTTCCCCCTCTCTGGTTCATCTGCAGATGGTAGCCCTGCTCGCGACCCGCCTGATGGAGATCCTGCAGGGTCTGTGGCAGTCCTGAGCGTCCGTGCCACACGTACAGATTCTTAGCCATTCTGCTCACCAGCATCAGAGACTCCAGCACGTTCACAATGTCGTAGATACGACGCCTCTCAACGCCTGCGTCACAGTTGCCAGTTACTACTTGTGGACATTTTGCAATTTTTAATTAACAGCGATTTTATGTTTGGGCGATGTGTCGGAAGCACTTTTGTTTTGATGGCGTGTAGGACTTTTATTTTGTGCATGAGAACTGTTAAACAAAGAAAGTAAATGGTATATGAAATATTATAGCGTTTACTTTTCTATTATTAGTAAAAGATCGGTATACACTATAATACTTTCTCATCTACTGTCAGCATTCAGCAAACGCATTTATTTGTGAAAAATACTATAATAGGATTACAGAATCAAGAAGTTGCCATCTAAAGTATAAATCTGTTTAGTTTCCAATTTATTTGTCATAAAGTTCTAATTATGTTTTTCATGCAATTCATTTTCAAATCATTTATTTCTAATTTTTTAAATATGTAAATATAAATACATAAATCTGTTTAAAGATAAAAAAAAAAAAAATCAAGTTCTAATTATTTTTTTCATGCAATTCACTTTCAAATAATTTATTTCTAATTTTTTTAAATATTATGCAAAATATAAATACATAAATCTGTTTAAGGATTTTTATTTTATTTTATCAAGTTTAATTTTTTTTATGCAATTCACTTTCAAATAATTTAACTCTAGTTTTGTAAATATTATGTAAAATATAAATACATAAATCTGTTTAAGGATTTTTTTTTTTATCAAGCTCTAATTATTTTTTCATGCAATTCACTTTCAAATCATTTATTTCTAGTTTTGTAAATATTATGGAACATATATATATATATATATATATATATATAATTTCAGCAATTGTTATGCATATTTTACTGTCTTTAAATCAAATAGTGTGATATCATATATATCTGCTTTATATCGCCCATCTGCCACCCTTTTCTCTGCGATATCGAACCACTATTTCACTATATTTTATACAGAAATAAGGGATTTGATTATGAGTTATTTTCTCTTACCTAAGCGTGTGGCCACCTCATCCAGAGAAATATTGATGCTCTCAGAGGTTTCTGGGTAATCAGGGTACAAGGCCAGAAATTTCTGACACAAAAGCCCCAAACTCTTCTGTTTGCGACTGGGTCTCCTCTCAGAATCGTCTAGTGCTTCATACTGAAATAAAGAGAGATAAAACCAGCTAAAACTACTGAGCATATGAAGATACTGAACATATTTAAGATGAATTGCATGTTGTGAGCCGCTGTGGATAAAAGCGTTTTAAGTTTCAAATCATTACACCAATTTAGACGTATTCTCTTAATACCTGGCAGGGGTCGTCGAGCTCTTCCTCTTCATCCCCATCTACAGCCTTCTCTTCATTTTCAATGGGTCTGAAGTGGGTTTTCTTCATCTCTCTGTCGCGGATGTCTGGGCTGGCAGCACTGATCAGCATTTTCAGGTTGGCTGTCGGGGTCCAGGGGTCCGGATGGGCCCTCTCTACGTGTTTAATGGGGGTTATGTGGGTGATATCCGGGCTGGAAACTCTCCTATGTCCGTTCACAGACTCACACTTCAGTGGGGTCATTTTCTTTCTGTCCATGCAGATGTTCTCCTGAATTCACAGTAAAAGTGAATCTAATGAGGCAGTAGATGCATTATCATGTAATTCAAACAAAAATAATGCTTTAATTACATTTAGATCTCTTACTTTCTGGTTATTCATGTTGCCAGTATCATCCGAGCCTGTCTTATTCACTAGTGTCCTCACACTAAGCAAATCCTTTAAAGTTAAACACTTCATCTCCATCTAAAAAAAGAATATAACCAGCACATTTATGCTATTAGTAAATGACTGAAATATGTTACTACATGACACTAACTTTTGCACTGTTATTAATATATAATACCAACAATTTTACGTTATATAGTATATATCTGCATAAATGACATATCTGAATATAAATATAAACTGATCTGTAAAGTATTCATGTGGTGTTTGTTACTTACTAATGAAGCCAAAAGTTATTCAAATACTGCTAGTAAATAATACTACGTTATTAGTATATTGGGTATTATATTACAAAATATCCTATTGTATTACATTAGAAACATGACTAATGATCACGTTCTTAAAAAGTGATCTGATCTGATGATAGTGGCAAGATTTTGGCGCAAATATTTTCAGCAGTTGCCTGGTAACGCAACCAATAAGATTCTCAGAAGAAAAAAATATGACTAAACTTTTGAAATTATTTATATTGATAAGATTGTCACAGTATTTTATCTGACATTATATTGTCGGAGCTCAGCAGCATGCTTATGATATTAAAAAAAATACTTTCATATAAATCCTCTTTTTCAGATTTTTTGAATACTAGTAAAATGTTTGTCAGTAAAAGTCAGACTTGAGTTTAAGGAGATTTATTTACATAATTTTTTATATTAAATCATGCAAGTCAGACTTCATATTCTTACCTTAAACTCCTGTTCTTGGATTAAATCATGTGAAGTGGTGATCCTTCGTTTTGCTCCTTAAATGAACATATTTCCTCTCCAAATCAGAAGATCATAACTAATAATCTTCTTATTTCAGTCGTACCGCCGGTATGAATCACCCGCTAAAGCTTGTTTTCTGGCGCTCTGAAGAGCTACACCCTCCCTCAGCCAATCACGTAGCCGCTATGCAAATATATCGACGGTGATTGGCCGAACGAGGAGGAAATGCCTCGGAGCGACCGTCGTAGCCAATCAGAGACGCGTTCTGACCAAGCCTGTGGGGGGTTTGTTGGCGGGGCTGTAGGCGCGCTCTTCATTGATCTGCTTCTGCTCTCTCATGAAGTTTTAAAGGCGCCGCTGTAACTCAGCGGGGACGTAATTAATCACCACAGATGATTAATTGACATTATATTATATAAATGCCAAATGCCTCCTGGCTGCTTTTAATGAGAAGCTCAGGCAGGAACAAAGGTGAGTGACACAGGTGGGATTTTGGCGCGACTGAGGGTTTTGTCGCGGGAAA